TTAACCAACCTATTAGACCATAAAAATGCCTGAATGAAATTCAACCAAAGGGTCTTCTTTTCTTTCTTAAAAGGTGGCCGTTGAATAAAAAGAGATAGAGTGTCCCTAGCTTCAAAAGGAAATGCAATATGCCACCCCAATTTCTGTAGGATGATGTCCCAGAAGATTCTGGTTTGCTGGCAACAAAAGAAGAGATGGTTGCTTGTTTCCCTGTTACTTTTGCACAAAATACAGCATTGTGGAGAGATGGACAACCAAGGGGAACCCTTTTCAGCTTGTGGCGGGTGTTTAGACATATGTGGCTTGATTCCCATTTAAAAACTTTACCTTCTTGTGGTGTTTTCCTTTCCATATAGATATATAGAGATCTTTGTTGTTCAAATCATTCCAGAAGATAAGGAAATAGAAAGAGATTTTGTAGAAAACACCCCATTCTTCTCTAAATTCCAGCACAAACTATCAGGCAAATCAGTGAGATTGATTTGAGGGTATTTTATTGTTTACATGTGTATATCTTCGATGTGGAGCCTGATTGAATGGAGATTAGACCATTTCCCAAATTTCTGAGATCTTTATAGTCTTCTACACAACCACGTTAGGATTCTGCCACCAATGTCAGAAGTCAAGTTCTTTGTCACAGAATGATGTACCAAACATTATTAGTAGCCAAATATGAGCAACTTTAGCTATTTAAATCTTTGCTATCAATGTCAGAAATCAAGATTTTTGTCACAGAATGATGTACCAAATATTATTAGTAGCTAAAGATAACTACATTAGCTATTTAATCTTTACTCTACTGCCCTACTAGATGAAATAACGGCATAGGAGGCTGCATTTATTGTCTTCTATCTCAATTCGAATGATTTACATATCTTCTACCTGAAGTTCTGTAGTCCATGTTGATCTATTTGTTTAGTATCCACCACGTCAATGGTCGATAAAGAAAAAAAAAAAAAGAATGATTAAGGAACTTGGGGTTTTTCTTCCATATTTCTGCAGATGGAATTCTCATTTGGTTCTAAAAGATGGCTACCGAAGGATGTATTCATAGAAAAACAGGAAGGCGATGAGATCAATGCTCTCGGATTACATGCTCCCGGATTTTTTGATAAGGTTCTAAACATTGACAAATGTTTATTGCAAAGTGGACCTGCCAATCAGGTATTCATCATTAAGTACACTGGCTGATCTATATACCGGTTGTGGTATTTATTCACAAACACATTTCTCATGGTGCAAACGAATGGATACATGAAATGAAAAGTAATTTGACTCATGTTACCAAAAAAAAAAAAAAAAAAAACGAAAGAAAGAAGGGTACATGGATATATTCTATCCGTAAGGTTCTATTATTTGATTTCAGTGTTCTCATGGTGCATACTATTCTTTTACAAATGACTGAGAAATTCTTGTTCACAGTAAAAAAAAAAATTCTAGGATTTTAATTTTAAAACACTTATTATGATTGATTAGTTACGAGACACGACATGGATATGGCTACATATTAATTTCTAATTAAGCGGGACACAGACATGCTGAAGACACTTTTTCTTTTCCTTTTTATAGAATATATATGTATATATTGATATATTAGTACTTCATTATAAATACTAATTTATTTAAGTCAATTAACAATATTTGAAAATTTTGAAAGATATAGAAGGGTTTAGTTGACAATAACTAGAGGAAGAAGGTGTCATCCTAATACGTTAGGAATGATTGATAAATAAGGATTTGAGTGTTTAAGGAATCTCTATTTTATGTACATTTTTTATTAACTTTTTTCAAGAGCCATGTCCAAAAGAAGAAAAAGATTAATTAATTCTTAGCAGACGAATCTGTGTCCATGCTTAGAAAAGTTCTTCAACTAAATTAGTTGAAACTTCTATATCATCGAGTTCACTTTGTATTCTTTAACAATTTTGAACTTTTCTTTTGTTGTTTGTACCAATGTCTGAACTGGTGCAAATTGTGGCTTCACATTAGATTGGCGCGTGGAAATTACTTTACTGCTTCTTCATGGACTTGCTTTTTTCAAATAGGTTCTTGCATCCATACAAGAATGTTGGAGGGATCCTCTACTGGGTTTGTCTCCTTATGATGTGCATTCTCACAAAGGATTCTTAAAGCATTTAATGCTGCGGACGGGAAGGTATTGAGACTTGTATAAGAAAAATATATATCCTTTTATTCTGTCTTCTAAACTTGCTAGGTCTCATACATGCTTGCATTTGTAGCATATCAAACATGTCATTAACATGAGAAAAGTTTATCTTGCTTAGATTCCGAGCAAGAATGTCATTGTGTATCTGTGCCTATAGGCTTTCTTTAAAGAGTGCAATTAGCAGAGAAAGAAGTAGAAGCTGTATGAGTACTGGTAGAATCGTTGGCAATGACATATTTGCAGTTTGTTTTTGTTTTTGTTTTGTGGTCGGACATTTTCTCTAGAAAAAAAGTTGCCTTTTTGTATTCAATCATTTTTCTCAATTAGAGCCGATTCCTTCATCAAGGGGAAAAAATGGTTAAAGAAAGAATCACAAGATATGCTACAAATCGCTTTTAGGTTAACACTAAGGCATCTTTTATCATACCTGTGATGAACACAGTTGTTTTTGTCCTAGTCAATTCTTGAATCCTAAAAGATAGTTATTTTCTGCCGGAGAAAATTAATGAATTTCTAAATTGGATTTCCTCTTAAATTAACTGCTTAAGCAAATTGTCTTCCAGGGATGTAAAGACTGGTTTGCCTGAACTTATGGTTAACTTTGTGACCTCATCCTACAAGCCTGAGCTGCTGACGCCCCTAGTTGAGAAAATTTCAGATATTCCTGAAGTGGTTAGTTTTTTAATACGTTACTGCAATTCTTCTCAGACGTGACCATGTGATATTCCTCTTCAGGATCTAGTCTGATTCATGTATTCTATTTTACTTTGTTGCCATAGTTCGTCTGTTCCAAAAGTATCTTAAGATTTTTTTGATGATGATTCCCTATAGGTTGGCCTGTGGTACATAATCTTAGGTTGTTTCTATGGGTAGTTTACTTTCTAGTGGCCTTGTTTCTTTTCTTCTCTCTCTTTTTTTTTTTCTTTTAATACAACAAATGTAGGTTACGAGGATTTGAACTTTCAACCTCAAGGAAAGGAGTACGTGTCAATTACTGCTGAGTTATGCTCAATTTGCCTCTCTAGTGGCCTTGTTATCTTCCCTTATGTTGTGAATTCTTTTGCTTCTATCTTTGCTATCACTATCTACTTTACGAGGCCAGAATTTGTGGCATAATAAGTTGTAGCAAAGATTTATATTATTGTTACCGATGTTTTTAGAAGGCCACATAGCATAAAAAATTTCCAGCTACATGAAATTATGGCGCTCAACTACCCTTCTGAATTGTTGGCAAATTTTATTTCTTACGCACTGGCTAGTTGCTTCATTTTTTCTCACCTGTTTCCAGCATCATATACTTAGATTTAGATTACCGATTTATGTAATGGTGGATTTGACAATGTAGGTTAGCGTTGTGAATAATATAAATTCCTCTGTTGGTAACACTTCTGTTGGAGAGGTGGAACATGTTTTATATGGGAAATCCACCATCACAGAGAACCTACGAGGTCTGACATTCCAAATATCAGCGAATTCTTTCTTTCAAACAAACACTTGTCAGGTATACAGCAATTTATTCCATCGACTAGCTCATCTCGAGTATGATGATCCTATCCAAGACACTGACCAAAATTTGTTTAGGCAGAGGTTTTGTATAGGCTGATTGAAGAGTGTGCTGGTCTTAAGGGAGATGGTTCAGAAATTGTTCTCGACTTATTTTGTGGGACTGGTACTATTGGTCTTACACTTGCTAAAAGGTAATTTGTTTTGTTGATTCTTTTATCGTGAGGACCTGTATAATAATGGCGTGCTTTGCATCTCCTGCTTTCAGGGCTAAACATGTTTATGGCTATGAAGTGGTTGCTCAGGCCATCAAAGATGCTTGTTTGAATGCCAAACTGAATAGTATCTGTAATGCCACATTTGTTCAAGGGGATCTGAATAAAATCGACGAAAGTTTTGGCAACAATTTTCCCAAGCCTGATATCATCATTTCGGGTCAGAAACTTCATTTTCCTTTAGTTTAAAATGAATAGACACTCTGCTTTTGATCTTTCATCTTTTCTGAACTGCAAGTCCACAAATGATGCAGATCCAAACCGTCCTGGTATGCACATGAAGTTGATTAAATTTCTTCTCAAGATCAAGGCACCTCGCATAGTTTATGTATCATGTAATCCAGCAACTTGTGCTCGCGATCTCGATTATCTCTGCCATGGTGTGGTATGTCCAAGCTTATTCCTACTAGTACTAGTTTAACAATTCTCTTCATACCCAGTCATTTGAACTGTTGAGATATTCTGCGCAGGAGGAGAAAGGCATAAAAGGCTATTATACACTGAAGAGCGTACAGCCAGTAGACATGTTCCCCCACACTCCTCATATTGAATGTGTCTGCCTACTAGAACTCACACCTGATTCCCAAATGGGATCATGATTGTTACTCAAATCCAAGCCTTCTCGTTTCATGTATTCCTAGTTAATGAAGGGAGGGAATTCTAGAAACATGTACTCGGTATTTGTATTCAAATCTCATAGCAGAGCAAGAGGAAGTGGTTTATGAGATTGTAGTTGCTACGGAATATATAACAAATAAGTCATTCGTTAAAGCAATCGGTATTATCTTGTATTCTTTATATTAAAGTTGGAATAGCTGAAGGCAATTAAAGCTATCATTTTACATGTCAGTGATTCAGGCTAGGAGTGAGAAATCGTCCCAGCAAAAAGAAGTTTGCTTTATATCTTTCAGAAATCTATTCACATTTTCATAAGCCAGAAAAACGTGATTACAGACACATTTTTCTTACATCTCAGTAAGAATATTGACAACTCTGTGGATGTCACTTCCCAAATGAACTCATCAGCTATAAGGAGCTGAAATCCTCTGTTGTCAAGCAAAATGGAGTGGGTAAAAGTTGATTTCTACAAATATAATTTTAAGATACATCATAGTTGGTTTCTTTCTTCTTGTATTAACTGAAATATCCTAGCTGCTGATTCAGTTGCAGTTTTAGGATGGTGCGGTACAACCTTAATTGCCCTTGATTTGTTCTCACTGATTTCTGCATTTGGACTGGACTCCTCAACTGCTGGTGGCTCAGTAGGAAAAAGAGGAAGCACATCTCCATCACCTCTCTCAGAGGGGCTACTAGCTGTACTTCCCAACAACTCACTTCCCTTTGATCGATGAAATTTCCGAACCTGAAATGGCATCGAATGGCTTGTTTGGCTCGGCATTTCACATGAGTTTTCTTGATGCGTCAAGTAGTTGATGTCCCTAGTTGATATCTGGTTTTCCTGTTCTTTAGACTTGGCTTTATCAAAAAGACTCATTTGATCTGGAGCTGACCCTGACATGGATTGATTAGTTACCGGTACACCGTAAGGTGGAAAGTACGTCTGGTTCAATGGAATCGTGCCAGGAAAATATCCAAACCCTTGATGGTGAGAAGCAGGAACAGCATAAGCTGGAGTGTAAAAGTCTCTAGCTCCACTGCCTGTATTTAGGCTCATTGTTCCGTAGTTACCATACATTGGTGTCATGAATCCTGCACTTGGAGGGCATGGCCCTCTATATGGTTTGTAAATAAGCCCTTCAGAAGGGGACATGACAGGAACCAGCCATTGATTTCCTGGTGTAGGGTGGTTCAAACACCAGGGATCTGATTTTGGAGCAGCATCTGTGGGAGTTTGTGGCGTGTCTCGAAGCTCGTAGCTTGTTTGTTGAGTAGGGGCAAGTTTACTGTTGTCCTTGTTGAAAGAAGGTAAGGGAAGCTTAGCAACAGGATTCTTATCTGCACATTTGCTGCTGAGAATGAGATTGGGCTGTTGATGATGGTCCTTCACCATGGTGCTTTCTGAAACCGGTTGTTGAGCACACTCAGTTAGCTTGTTCTTAACAGCAGATAGAGTTGATAATGGTTTCTCTAAGTAGTCTTCAAGTAAGATGTGTGGTGATCCAGCAATGAATTTTTGAACCTATGTTAAATTCAAGCAGTAAACCATTTAAACTAAAGGAGCACCGAGATATGAATACAACGACTAGAGTTCAAGTAACAATCGAAGCCAAATGATGGTGTACCTCTATGAGTCTATGCAACTCAAACACCTGTACTGCAAAGATCCTTTGCTGACTGAAAACAGTTGGAAAAAGGTGGGAATAAGAGATCAATGAAAATCCAACCCAAAAGATAACACTTGAATGAGAAGAATATGTCAAATATACAAGGAACTGTAATGACAAAGGAGATTCTAAGTGGTCTGACCAATTTAAGGATCATTTAATGGTAATGCCTGCAGCTTGAAAAGAGAAGGTTACTTGATAAATGAACTCTAAAGAAGAGCATCAAGGATTAACAAGTACATATCATGTAACGGCCCGAAGCCCACCGCTAACAGATGTTACCCTCTTTGGACTTTCCCTCAAGGTTTTTAAAATGCGTCTGCTAGCTAGAGGTTTCTACACCCTTATAAAGAATGTTTCCTTTTCCTCCCCAATTGTTGTGGGATCTCACATATCATATCATATAAGCGGGTCATAATGACATTTGTTTCAATCAGAAAACGACACAGGTGAAGTAACTCAACTTAAGAATTGGTAGGCTCGATGACATGATGTGACAAACAGAAGTATAGTAGTCAAGGATCCTCAATAGTAAGGGTATAACTACTAGATGGCTTTTCTACTCTACCATAAAGTTTGACATGGTATATTACTTAGTAGCACAATATCAGCGATGTATCAACAAGGTTTAGACAAAAAAGAATACTCACTGAACAATTGCTTTTCTAGCCTTCCAGAATTGTTTTTCGCCAATCAACCCCACGATGACATCAGGTGACATATTTGGAGCTGTAGTTGAATCGACTAAGGAAGCATCTGAAGCATTGTCTTTTTGTTCTACGTCTCTCAAATGCACAGTAGAGAACTTCTCGAACTCATTCGTCCTGTTGCAGTTATCGAGGTTTTTGAAATTTCTATCGCTAACTCTAGGCGACAACAACGAACATGGTTCTCTAATCACCATGGATGACTTTTCCAAACCGGTAACTTGGGTGCACCCCACCTTGTCTTGGGCAACTTCAGAGTTTCGCTCAGTCAAACTTTCTACAAATACTCTCACGTTTGCATCGAAAAGTCTGTTTGAATTGCTGACTGAAGTCCAGTTTTCTTTAACCATGGATGGATGAGGCAGCTTTGTCTTTTCAGAGTCCTTATACTTTGTTGAAGGGCAAGCATTTGCCTCTAACAAAGGCTTACCAGTGGCTGAAGCAATCAATACAGGTCTCTCCACAGGATCCCGAGTAGCCTTCGTCAAATTTGGATTCTCCGCACCTTCATTCCCCACATATTTTCTAGAAGTAAGATTAGTGACAGCTATATTGGCCTGTGGTTCACAAGCACTTCCAATTTGTGCTGAAGAGCTCATACTCCTGCTTGACATCCTTTCCCTATCATGATTGTGCACACCAGTTATAGGCTGGTCTGAGGCAGGAATACTGAACTCGTCATCCTTTTCTCTAGCATCCGTCGAAGAAAAGTTCTTGAGATTTGAAACTTTAATCTTTGTGACTGAATTGCGCTGTGGATTTGATGACAATGATCCCGTTGCTACCAGACTTGTCTTTAGCAACTTTGCCTCGTTACTTTGCACAACTCCTCTAGAAGAATAAGAGTGAAGTTTCTCAACCTGATTAGGCTGTACAGAGCACTTGGAGGACGCTGAGAAAATGCCCCTTTTTTGGCCAGAAAACTGCAGAGCAAGCAAGTTCATGCAATCAATAGCAGAAATTGAATAAACTTGTGCACACAAGACAAACACCCTTTAAGCCAGTGGCTAAGTTTAAGCTGTGTTTGCCTCTTAGGAAGGTAGTCCATTCCAAATGGCTCTATCCCGATCAAACTGTACGTCATTTTCTACTATTGATTCTCAGGGTATTTTCATCAAACACTTTATATGCATATGTGGTTTCAGGTTAGTAACTAAGAGGACAATGAAAACATCAAGTTCGATACTGAAAGACTGAAAAAGACGAGCACATATGCATTCATAAACATGCTAATCAATGAATAAACTTGTGCACACAAGACAAACACCTTTTAAGCCCCTGAAGTTGGTAATTATTACAAAGCAGTGAAGCTTCAAACTGAACATAGTGGCTAATTCTAAGCTGTGTTTGCCTCTTAGGAAGGAAGTCCATTCCAAAATGGCTCTATCCCAATCAAACTGTAAGTGATTTTCTATTATCGATTCTCAGGGTATTTTCATCAAACACCTTATATGCATATGTGGTTTCAGGTTGAGTAACTAAGAAGACAACGAAAACATCAAGGTCGATACTGAAAGACCGAAAAGACGAGCACATATGCATTCATAAACAAGCGAATCAATGAATAATTGCAGTAATCTACAAAGCTTACGTGACTGGACGATGTCAAGGGAGCCGGAGTGCTGCTTGGAAGAGGAGTGGCTGAAGCTGATCCAGAGGAAAATCTTTGTGTAGGAATGGTAAGCTGCTCATAGAGAGCCATTTTATTCCTTGGAGGGGCTCTTGGGCCTCCTTTCTCTGTGTCATTGACATGAAGCCTGGGGAACATAGGACTCAACACTTTTTCTTCATCCTTTTCCCCTCTCATCCTCTCACCAGATGAACCCAATTCCATGATTTTCTGTGTTAAAACAAGGGATTTTCATTTCAAAAACCCCATCAATTTCCTTCACCAGTTGTGCAAAATACTAAACACTTCTACAAGAACACGATCGCAACCTTTTGAGGGAAAAATGTTTGAAGATTCCACCAAATTTTATCTAAAACCAACCATCAAATCACAAAATTCTGCCAACCCAGAAAGGAAAAACATTAAATCTGGTGAGGGATTCACATTTGGCAGGTACCCATCATCAGCCCACCTCAAATGAACAAATCTTCTGGCTGAAATTCATGAAAAAACAGGAAGAACACATGAAAAAACAAGGGACAGAGAGCCAAATACTGTGTAGCAACACCCAAAAATCCAAAGAGTAGAGAGAAACAAGCACAAAAATGCAGAGAAGAACCAGAAAATCAAACACTCAAAAGGGACAAGTAGAGAATTAGGCCAGCTATGCAATGAAAGTAGGTGAAGAAGAAGAAGAAGACATGAGACAGAAGCAGCAAGGAAACCATACATGGAACGCAAAAGGGAGGTAAAAACAAGTCCAGAGTTAAATATAAGAAGGGAGAAGAAAGAGGGAGAAAAGGGGAAAGAAGAGAAAGAATATATATTGGGAAAAATGGATTCTGTGAAAGAATAGGGTTACCTTGGATTTGCACTACGGAGGATCCCATCAACCCACAAGAAGGAAAAGAAAGCAAGAAAAGTAAAAGTAAAAGGAGAGAAAGAGAAGGAATAAAACGAAGACAACTCAAGATTTGAGCCAAGGTGGGAACCAGGTGGGAAACCGGATAGAATGAGAACTACTTTTAGGCAAAAGGGCCTAACCCCTGAACACAAACAACCCCTCATTCTCCAGTTTCTCTCATTGGCTACCCCACCCACTCCAAACCCAACTCCTCGATCACCACCGCTAGCCGATATTGTTTTCTCTTTTCTTTCTTTTTCGGACTTTCTCCTCAAGCTTTTAAAACGAATACACGGAGAGGTTTTCACGCCTTTATAAGAAATGCTTAGTTTCCACCAATGTGGGATTTCAAAATTCACCTCCTTGAAGTTTAACGTCCTATTGGCACACTACCCAATAAATAGCTCTGATATCATGTGTAACAGTCCAAGTAACCAAAACTCTACCCTCTTGGGGTCCAACGTCCTACTAGCATATCCAATGTCCAGCTCTTATATCATTTCTAACCGTCCAAGCACACAACTAGTAGATATAATCCTCTTTACGCTTTTCCTTCTAAGGCTAACAGTAATACATGCAAAAACTGACAATGTCTGCTATCAGTGACATAGGAGCGTTAGATTGGAAGACCCGAATTTGAAATTTTGTTAGATTGTACCTCTGCCACATGGGGTGGGCAGTATTTTGGCTACGCTGTTCATCTTGGAACCTCATGTTTTTAGGCCAATCTTTTTAACGAAAAATCCGTTAAAAAATCGTCTCTCTCTTTCTTTTTCCGATTATATTCATGATTCAAACAGACAGAAGAAAGGGATTTGGATATTGTACGGTCTGAGAATTGTTTATTTGACCACAAAGATCTCTTTTTTATTTTTTTATTATTATTTATTATTATTATTATTTTATATAAATAAAAAAATTTAAAAACAAAAAAAGATCTCTTCTTTCTCTTTGATTTCTGTGTAAATCAATATTATAATCACACGTGATCCCATTTATTATGTGGCCAAAGCTAAGCCATTAAAATAAGTTTGTTTCTTTTTGGCGTAACTCAATCCATCCGACACGCCCTACCTGTCGGCCGAGCTGACGACAAGTCGTTCACCGCTTACCAATGTCAACGACATTGGGCCTACACTTCATTTCTTAACTGGCCCATTTATTGAAGCCCAATTTATCTATTGGGCTCTACGACCTGGATTTGGGCCAAGGAGCCCGCCAGCCTTCTCCTCCTCCGACAAGACATACAATTATTTTTTAATTTTTTAACTTTTTTTTTAGTTTTGAAATATATATATATATATATATATTAAAATAAGTATAAAAATATTTTTTAAATAACAATAATTTCAAATTGGTTTGGTTACACTCAAAGCTAATTTTAGGAAAATTCATAAATTACTTTGATAAATTTGATTCTCAATTTATCTAATTTTTTAATTTTTTTTTTTATATTCTAGGGATTGTTCGGGGCACCAAATGGGCTGGATGGAGTTGTTTGTTTTGCTAAGTAACTCAACCCCCGAACACTAATTTATTAAACTCGGACTTCATAAGCACCTCAAATACTAATCTCAACACCCCGTACACCAATATATTATACTTTCAACAATTCAATATTTCAAACACTAATAACACTAGGGGTGTACATGGTCCGGGTTGGGTCGCGTTTAGGAATTTTTTTGACCCAATCCAAAAGTTCGGGTTGGTTGGATTGGTAACCCAACCCAACTCGAAACTTTTCACAACCCAACCCAACCCAACCCTCTATTTTCGAGTTGGGTTCGGGTTAGGTTGTCAATTTTTTTTTAATTTTTATTTATCAAAGTTCACAAACAAACACAAATCAATTTATAATTATTGACTTCAATAAAAAAAAAAAAAACATATTTTAACATTGCGATAAACACCGACTTATAATCTGACTCCAAACTACAACGCAATTGAGGATCTCAAACACTAACATGTTAAACTCCGACTTCATAACTCAACGTAACTCAACACCCGAACACTAAACGACCCACAAATTAACTTATTACCTCCACCGACATATTAATTATCGACTTCATAATTCAACTCAGTGCTCGAAACGCTCGGACGGGAATAAGACGTGTTATGTTGAGGAAGAGTACAATATTTTGAAAGGATGAGGACAAGAAAGAAAGTGACAAAAAAAGAAACAAAGATAATGTTAATTTAAAAGACAGATTGGAATTTTTGAAATAAAAGGGTGAAAGTGGGGTCCACAGAGGGGGGGTGAAGGCTTTGCTGTTACGATTTTCCACGTGAGACAATGTTATCAGGGACATACCAATGAGAAGATGCCACGTGTAAAAGAATCGTAGCGTTCACGTGTGAGCCGTAATAATGGAATTGACAAGGATATGTGTGTGGGGGACCAATTGAGGGGAATGAAGAAAGAGAAAAAGAAAAGGCGAAATGCAATGTAACTGAATTAAGGGCCTTGATTTGCCCTTTTTCCATCATAATCCAAGAATCAACGGTCAGATTTGCATGATGATCAATGAGATAAAAGTGGACCCATATTCATATTACAATAGAACCGACTACATTTCACATGGTCCCACCAAATTTATTTATATTGTACTTTCAACATTTTGTTTTTTTTTAATATATATATTTTCAATTTTATATAATTTATAAAGTTTTTTTTTTTTTTTTTTTGTAAAATTATCTAATATTTTCTTAAAAAATTTTCAATTTTATATCTAATATATCGATTAATTAAATAAAATTTTTCAAATTTATTAAAAAATTGTAAATATATCCAAACTCGTAAAATTTAAAATTTTATTAGACACGTTATCTACTCCTTCCACAGACCAACACAAATTCTTCAGCAATAAATTGCCGTAAATGAAGCATACATTGTGATATGAACCAAAAGACATCAATCATACTATATACTTCAATGAAGATGCGAAGAAAAAGTTGTCAAAATTATCAAAAGATGTTTCAATTCATGCCACATTGAAGAACAATGAAGTTTGATTGTTATAAATTTTGGGTGGGTTACAATGTAGAGTTATTGTATTTTAAAACTTTTTATTTACTTTAGTACATTTACATGACGGCTAATTATGACCATTAAGTATGAATGTAATGGCTCTTGGAATGCCTTTAATACTTTAATAGTTTCATTTTTTAGGCTAAAGCCACGTATGTTGTATTTGTTGGTAGACTTAGAAAATATAGTAAAAGAAGTATTTGTGTTTTTCTTTAGCCAATGACTAAGTTTCTTTGCAATTCTATGTAGTTTAGATTGCATGTAGAATCATTCAAGCTCGACATGATCAATCTTGCTTGTGGAGTGATTCGAATCTCAATCAAGTGTTCTTGTCTTGAGATATTTGATTAACAAGAATCATTCAAACTAGACATGATCGATATTGCTTGTGGAGTGATTCGAATCTCAAACAATGTTCTTGTCTTGAGATATTCGATCAACAAGGTAATCCAAATCTTACTCCTCTTGTAGTGATTTCCACATATCACATCGTCAAGGAATTCCTATGATTGAGTTGTAAAAAAATATTACTCTCATTCGTTATTTCAGTTCATTCATATATTATTTATTTAATTGGTTGTCACATATATCGCGTCAGATAATAAATTTAATATTTTAATTTAGAATATAATTTTTTAAGTGAAATATTTTAAGAATTTTTCGAAACCCTTTTAATTATATGATAAAATACTATGAATTTTCAAATTGGTTTTTAATTGAATATAAAAAAAATCACGTTGAACTCACTCTAATTTTTTTATTTAATATGATTAATGGAATAAATTTTTCATGTATTTGTGAATTTTTTATTTAAGAAAAATTCCAAATATTAAAAAATTAAACTAACATGTTACCTGCTTAGGCAAAGGTACGGCAAACTTTTATTTATTTATTTTTAAATAAAGACAAAGAAAACAAAACAATTTAGATGCTTCTCTCGTCTTTTAAATTCTATCCGACCTATATTCAATATTCAGAATCTGATTTAGATATTCGATGGTTTAAATACATGGAGTTTTTTTCCGAGTTAAAATATGGATGTTCATGTGACTCGAGAACCCGATCAACTCAGACTACCTAACCAAAGCAATAAATGATGGTAATTTTTATTTCGATTTGAATTGGGTTGAAATTTTCGAAAAATCGAAAAAATTTGATCGATTCATAAGTTTTTGGCATTTTTTTAGTCGGGTCAACTTGACTAACCTGAAAATAGAGTTCTAATCTAATCCAACCGAACCCTACCTTTAAGATTATTATGAAAAATAAAAATATTTAACGTTTATAACAGATATCAATGATATGCTAATGACTTATAACAAAAGGTTCGATTGTGAACCTGATTCAAAATTTTTCCGAGCTGAACCCGTGTACACCCGTACCAAAAAGTACACTTTGTTTATATAGTTAGTAACTATAAATTATTTTAAATAATTCTTAACAATAACTTCATATATTCAGTACTACTCTCGTTCAGGTGTGGTGGAACAGTTCAAGCTCACCGTTATCAGTTACGTATCATCGTCAGCCTCACGATTTTCAAACGCGTATGCTGGGGAGAGATTTCTATTCTTCTCTCCCGATGTGGGATCTCACATGTAGTCTCGTTTGTTAAAACTATTGTATTAATTTGCCCGACGACGAGCAATAAAATAAAAACGTGAAGGGGGGCATTTGAGTAATTACACAAAATATGCCTCCAACTTCTATTTTATTAAACTCAAATCTCTTACTACAAGTGGCTCTATAGCATACTTCTACTTGTAGGAATTAATTCCTTCCTCTTTTAAATTATGTTATCAAAATCTAAAAATTCCTCCATTTTTATTTTTCCATTTAAAAATAAATTATTATTATTATTTAAATCAATAATATTTATAAAAAAAAAATTT